GCCCCATACAGGCGGGTTATTGAGTTGTCGCCCTGGACGTAGTTCTGTGGCGCAAGAGGAGTCAACTGACTTGGCACGCGGAGCGGACAAAAAGAACAATGAAAGCGACGAACAGAGAACGAAGAAGAGTGTATGACTAACCTGGAAGAGACGGGCTTGTTCGGGCGGGGCGATGCCGATGCCTGTGTCTGCTACTTCGACGCGAACCGCACCCGTGGGCTGGCTCGTGATGGACACTCGAATGGTTCCCCCGCTCGGCGTAAACTTGCAGGCGTTCGAAACCAGGTTGCACACGATCTGCGCCACACGCAGCCCATCTCTCAATTCGCCTGTGATCACAAGAACCGCACTCCGTAGGTTGTCGTACCTGGCGAAAGCGGAGAGGGTCGCCCATGTAGTGGCTCGCTTGTGGGTTGAAGTACTTCTCCAGCGTGATCTGCTTGCCCTTCATCATCGCCGCAAACGTAGCGCAGACCTGGTGGGCCATTCATCATTCAAATGATTGCGTCTTGTGACGACGGACGGTGCACAGCGCTGCTTTCGCACCTTTTCGGCCTCGCGGGCGATGGAGAACGGAATGCATTCGATGCTGAAGGTGTCGGAGCAGGCCTTCTCAAAGTCGAGGATGTTGTTGAGCAGTCCGAGGAGATGTCGCCCGCACTGGGAGATCGTTTTGACCGTCTTGCGGCCGGCCTGGCGCGGAGGCATCCGCTCGATCAGCGAGTCGCACAGGGCCAGGATCCCATGCAACGGAGTGCGCAGCTCTGCAGTGGTAGCAGGCAGTGAGTACAGTTGGCATCGTGCACGATTGCGCCGCAACGTACCGTGTGAGGTGGTGGCTAGGAAGATGCTCTTGGCCTCGGCCGCTGCGCGCAGCTCGTCGTTGGCCCTCTTGACTTCCCCCAGCGCCACCTGCAATGGTGGTTCAGGCATCAGTCCTGATGAATGCAAGGTGGTTGGAGTGAATGGTGAGGGTGAAGGTGGTGACGCACACGCAGCCGGTGGAGGGCTCTGCCGCGACAGTACTCGTGCACGCAGGCGGTGAGGCCGAAGCAGAGCAGATAGGCGTTGACGGTGAGCGCACGCGCTGGTTCTTCGACCTGGATCCCGCTCGAGCGCGTAGAGCCCAGCAGAAAGAGGACGGCACCCTCGACCAGCACCAGCGCCAGGCCTATCAAGCCGCCTTCGACGCCCATCGTGAACGATAAGATCTTTGGCACCCTGCATACACAAGACGTAGCACCACCCTCAACATCTTGTTCAATCGATTTTTACTCCAATCGTGTAGAACATGTTTTAGTGGGAAGGGGGGGGGAAAAGGATTATTTACCAGCCGAGCCACACGTAGATCTCTGGGACGAGACCGTAGTGGAGGCACGCGAAGAGGGTTGTAAAGTTGATGACGCTGGTCAGAAGGAGGGCTGCCCTGATGAAGTCGTGCTTGACCCGCAGCAGGTAGAGGGCGACGATTTCCAGCGGGAGCACCGCGGCCAAGGAGAAGGTGGACAGGGTGCCGAGGCCCAGTAGTGTCAGGTGCAAGGTGGCCAGCACCAGGGCCATGATCTGCACCATCACAAACTTGCGGATGTCTTCGGCGCTATGCGACTCAGCGTAGCCGGCCGGCAGCACAAAGGCTAAGTGCGTGTCTTCATCGCCCACCTCCTTTTCGTAATCAATCCCTTGGTGATTGTTATTGTTGTTCATCGTCTTCATTGCCTGTGAGTGTGATGGTGATAGTGATGGTGGTGCTGTGATGGTGATGATGTTGTTGCTCTTGGCCGTTGGTTTGAATGCTCTAGACCGTTTGCGGGTGGATGGAGAAGGCGCTGAGACTGCTAATGCGCGGCCTTGATTGGTTGGCGAAGAGCCAGCGAAACAGGCACGCCATACAACTCCGGTCGCTCACGTCACGCCCTTCCGCTGGTGTACCTAAAAACCGAAGTCGAGGTTGGATCAGCATCTCCACCTACCAGAATGAATGATTCTGCAGACTAGGGCCAAACCAAACTGGGATCAGCCCAAAGTTGGCCAGAGGCAAGCCAGGACGCCTTCCCGTACCCCCTAGTTTCGGCCAAACAGTGACTATAATTGCAACTATAAAAGGAAATTACCCAATTTCATTCAATATAATTCAGCTTGGGTGGGGTCGCTGGGAATGGCAACGGTGGACCAGCGGCCCTTGGCGCGGTCTTCGTAGAGTGCCCGGTTGGCGAGAGAGAGCCGGAGTGCCAGGGGTTCGAAGGCATTCCACAGACGCGCGGTCGTGGCTCGGTCGGTGTTGTCCGGCGTGTGGTTGGCGATGTTGAGCGCCAGCGTGGCGAGCTGGCGATTTTCGTCGGCCAACTGATCGAGGGGCATGTGTGTCTTCATCTCCGCGGGCTTGTCCAGGACCTGGACGGTGCCGGTCAGCTCCTCGACCAGGCGACGGAAGGAGGTCACGCTCAGGACCATCGACTCCAGAACGGGCAGGGGGTGCGCCGGCTGCGGGCGACAGCACTCATCGGCCATCTTTTCCCCCTCGGCCGCGAGCAGGCGCAGGCGCACAGTCTCTGCTTCGAAGGGGCTGAGCTTCTCTGGAGTGGTTGTCATCTTGTATGGTGTGTGGTGTAGAATAAGTGGTCCCTTCTGCCTCTCTGTGCACTATTTTACCTGGTCTGGCACAACACCAGAAATTCAGGAGACTTTTTGGCGGACAACTCCGACTGTGTCGGGGAGGTCGCGTGCGGTGAGTTGGTGATTTTATCGAACGCTCCGCCACGATGTCCATCTCCTTGATAGTGATATCTTCATAGTAATAACTGATAGTGAAGGAATTGTTGTTTGATTTCTTGGGAACCGCTCAGCCCCTCGGAATGGAGGGACGAGCAATCAGATACGGACGGTCGTGCTCATGAGGTCGTCCAGGTCATCGAAGTCGTCATCGTCATCGTCGTCCCAGAAGTCGTCATCGTCGTCGTCGTCGTCATCGGAGTCCGAGTCCATGATGGCCAGCTTGCGCATCTCCAGCGCGCCCCGCAGCGTGTCCTGGAGCGAGGTGAACATGCCCAGCGAGTCGCCCAGCGCGGGCGGAGGAGGCGCCGCCAGCTTCTGCTTTTCGACTTCGGCCGGGTCCACCTTCTTGAGCTTGGTGCCCTTCAGCTGCGCCAGCAAGCCACCCATCGAACCTTCAAGCCAAACGACAATCAAGCGACCAATGAGCTCCATGGAGACACAGCACACGACCCCACACGCACGCGATAGTAACTGAGAGAGGCAGGTGTAGTATACCAGATTCTTCGGCTTCCTTTTCGAGTTCTTCGGTACGCTTCTGGATGGCGGCCTTCTTCTCCTCTTCGATCTGCTCGGCCGTGCGCTGGTCGACCACGCTGATGGCCTCCATGCCCAGCTGCTCCAGCAGCTGCGACAGCTCGTTCTGGCAGCCCTGCAGCGGCGTATCTTCCGAGTGCCTGCCCGCCGCCTGCACAAAGCCCACAAAATAAATAACCAAATATGAATAACAATTTATAATTTTACCATCAATTCATCTCTTTCGAAAAACAAATCATTGAAGAACAAAATAATAGAATTAACAAAATGATTTGGAAAAAAAGAAGAGATGCTTTGCATACCGCGGCGAGAGCGGCGGCGATGGAGGAGAGACGGGTTTTGGTGTCCGAGATGAGGTCTTCGCTCCGCTTGAGCCTCTCCTGCGCCTCCGCGTGCTCCTTTTGCAGCATCTCGAACTCCACCTGTCGCTGGATGCGCAGTTGCTCTGAGTGGTTTCAGTGTCGGGCTTGTCAGTCGCGTCGTCTGATGGAAACGAAACATACATCGCGCACGCACGCACGCACAGCACAGCACGACACGACACGACACGACACGACACGACACGACACGACACGACACGACACGACACGACACGACACGACACGACACGACACGACACGACACGACACACGTTGTACGAACCTTGTTTCTTCCATTCCTCTTCTAGGTTTACCATGGAGGTCAGGAAGTTGGTGAGCTGTGAATCGATCTTGATCTCCTTGGCCTCCAGATCCATTTGCCTCGTCAGCCGCTTCAGCTTCTTCGTTTCCTGTTGCAATCAACGTTCTCCATCAGACCCCAAAGATCTCCTCGCGACAACGCTCGAAAAGCTTGCGTTGCGTTGCGTTGCGTTGCGTTGCGTTGCGTTGCGTTGCGTTGCGTTGCGTTGCGTTGCGTACCTGAAGCATAGCGGCATCCTGGGGCGTCTGGATCATGCTACCGCGACGCGAAATTGTGATACCGCTCCCCTCCAGCTCTGTTTTTGTTTGGGGGGCGGAGGGGGGGGGAACAGTTACGATCGAAGCACACACGCAGACACACACGCGCACTCACACGAGAGGCGCGTGTGAATGACACATGGGTGACGAACCCTTGAGAATGAGCTTCTTGGTACTCTTCCTCCGCTTGCGCGCGAGTGCACGCTCAGCCCTGATGATTGTTAAATGTAATGTGTTATGGAATCTAATAATATGTTATGTTTTGATTGGTTGATGGCGCGTACCGCTGCTGCCGCATTTCGTTCGCCTGGCGGATGGCCTCCTGCATATCGGCCAGCGAGGAAATCTTGCCGTCCTTTTTCATTTGCTCCACTGTCACATTCGGAACCGTTTAGCACACCTTCACCATGCAACGCAGGCACCCGCACCGACACACACACACACACACACAAAGGATTGGAAAAAAAGAGAAGTGGTGAGGTACCCTTGGCCATCATCTTTTGCTCGCGGGCCTCTCGGCGCGCCCTGCGCTGCTCTTCGAGATCTTTCATGAGCGCCTGGAGTGCCTCGGGGCTCAGCTCCTCCCTCTGAATGCCCCTCTGCGCGAGCTGCCGCTTGATGGCGAGTTCCTCCTTCAGCTTTTTCAGCGCGTCCATCTTCTCTTGCTTGCGCGCCTCCAGGTTCGCCAGCATCACCGCACCTAAAATTTATTTTATAACAAAAAAAATTAGGAAAATGTAGGTCTAATTAAGTGAATAAAAGTGTACAAATATATAAAGAGTGACATAATAATAAATGTAAACAGAATAATTGTAAAAAATAAATAAATAAAAGAGAATGGCGCGTACTGCCATCGCTGGCGGGAGGCGCGAGGAAGGGCTTGTCCTGTTCGCCCAGGCGGCTGAGGAGCACAGCATTGACCGGCGGAGGAGTCGAGCCCGCGGGAAGACACCGCCCGGAGTGGCTCAGCGGCGAAGGAGGTCTGGTTCGCGCCGGCACCTCTCTGTGTGGGGGGAGCGAAGATGAATCTTACATGCACACACGCACGCGCACGCGCACGCGCACACCGCACACCGCACACGCGCAGAGAAAGTTGCTGGGGAAGGTACGGGGGAGTGGAGTGAGAGCTGCGACGTTGGGCAAGTGCGACCTTTTTCTTCTTCCACTGGAGCAGAATGGTCTGTTTGTGCGATTCGGGGAGCGATCCCATCTGATCTCGCTGTGCATCTGCGGACACGACACACGACACGCACATGTGATCACACAACACAAAACGCAACGCACGACACGCGCATATCACACAACACACAATGCAACACACGACACACATGACACGCAAAGGAAAGTCAGAAAAGAGTCAACTCCCAGGGAGTTGAACGCAATCAGATGCGTACCGGTGAATTTGAGGTCGTTCATCATCTCCTCGAATTCGGTGGCGAGATCGACGACGGTGACTTCGGTGTCGCGCGGGCTGAGCGGGCTCGAAATGATCCGGGGCGAGTTGGAGGCGGTCACGGCCGACGGCGGCGCGGTCACCGTCAGGATCGGCGTCCCCGGCCTGCTGTCCTTTTCTTTCTTTTCCTTCTTTTCCTTCTTTTCTTTCTTTTCCTTTTTGTCCTTTTTCTCTTTGCCCGCTTCCTGCACTTCGGGCGGACTCCCATCGGCCTGCACACACGGCGCACACGGCGCACACGGCGCACACGGCACGCACGACATGACACGACACACGACATACGACACACAACACAACACACACACACACACACACGACACCACACGATGATGAGAGTTTGACGGCAGGCGATCGCCTCGTGCCGACGAATCAGAGAACGAAGAATGATAAAATAATCACGAGGCACAGCGCACACGTACCCTAGACCGAGGGCTGATCAGCGAGCCGGCCGAGGGAAGCACGGGCGCAGAGGAGGCGAGCTTGGGCGACAACGGCGGCGGTGTGCCCTTGCCCTGTCGCTTGGCCTCCAGGTCGGCCTTCAGCTTCTCCAGCGCAGCCAGGGACGTCGTGTTGGTCGTCTGCAAACGCAACAAACAAAACCAACACAAATTTAATTCCTGCTGGTGGCATGACAACGCCATTTTGCACCAACATTTTTATTTTTTATTTATTTAAACTGTAAATACACTTATTTATGATTTGATTACGTCCTAAAATAACAAGGATTTATTTCCCCGCACATGAGGAAGGGGAGGGACCTTGAGGCGAGGCAAGGAGGTGGACTGGAGGATTCTTGCCCGCAACTCATCTTGCTTTGTCTTCACGTCTTCGGACGACATCTTTCTGGCGTTCTATTTGCTTTGTTTCGGGGTGGCAGGAAGGCGAACAAGGGCAATGCAGAGCTGTGGCCAGGTCGTGTGGGGAGAGCGAGGTTCTTGTTGCGGCTGCCCGGGCAAGCATGCGACAACCAACCAAGGGAATGCGGCCAATGTTTTATTTTGGGTTTTCTTCTTTGAAACAACGAGAAAACTGAGAAGAAAAAAGAGGAAACGCTTTTCTTTTTGATTCACAGCTGATTGAGTGGGTGATCATTCCCTGAGCCACAGCGCAACTCATGATGGACATGGACACTGAGGGGGACAACTCAGAGGAGGGTACTCTATCTGCTCCAAAACAGTTTAATCCGGATTTTGCGTTGAGCCCCCATTCGATGCCACTTCTACTTCTTCATCTTACTAATCGTGCCGTTCACACGTGTGCGTGTAGTGCTGCGCACGCGGGAGGAGAGCGAGCGGTCGCTGCTGTCGCTCATCCTTCCGCGCTACGCGGACATGGCCATGGGCGGCCACAGCGACGCCGACGAGCAGCTGCTGACCGAGTACGAGTCCTACCTGTCCTCCCTGTCGTCGGCCACCTTCCAGCAGCTCATGAAGGAGCCCGAGAAACTGCACGACGAGTCCGAGAAGATGAAGAAGCAGATGCAGGACCTGGCCTTCACCAACTACAAGGCCTTCATCCAGACCTCAGAGTGCATCCGCGGCATGAAGCAACAGGTGTGTCGTGTGTGTCGTGTGTGTCGTGTGTGTCGTGTCGTGTCGTGTGTCGTGTCGTGTGTTGTGCTCACAGGTGTTGGTGGGAGGGCAGGTGGCGGAGGTGCGCACGCTGGTCGGCGGACTGGAGACGGCCCTGCCCAGCCTGAGCAAGGCCTGCGAGCAGTTCTGTAAGACGGCGGTGGAGATCACGGCGCAGCGGGCCGCCACCCAGAACACGCTCGACCACCACACCAAGCTCATGGACATTCTCGAGATTCCAGAGCTGATGGAGACCTATGTGCGCTCGGAGCTCTACGACGAGGCGCTCCAGCTGGAGGCCTTCACGCACGGGCTCAAGAAGAAGCATCCCGACATCCCGCTGATCCAGTCGATCGCCACTGATGTCGACAAGTCGCGAGAGATGATGATTAACCAACTTCATCACAAACTGAGAGGTACCCACCTTGACACACACACACGACACACACGACGCACACGACGCACACGACGCACACGACACTAACGTTTGCCAATGACAGACAATATGGCTCTGCCTGGCTGCCTGCGTGCGATATCCCACTTGCGGAGGATGAATCTGTACAACGAAACACAGCTTCGCATCACGTACGGCGCCTCCCCTCCCCACCAGGCGCGATCCAGTTCTTCGAACCGGGCCAATTCTCACCTAAACAAAATTGTTGCGATTTGGTTGATCCAGATTTTTAAAGAGCAGAGACGCGTGGCTGCATTCCGTGATCGATGCCGTGCCCACCACCAACCCCTACACCTACGTACGTGCCGCACACGCACACACACATGCACGCACCACCGCACACGGGCAGCGACACGACCAACGTTACTAATCGAACGTGTGCTGTTATGCCGCTTTGATTGGAACAGTTGAACAAGCTGATCGACAGCTGTAGGGTGCATGTCTTCGACATCATCACCCAGTACCGGGCCATCTTCCCGGACGACAACCTCGCTGTGGCGGCGGCGGCGTCCCCCGCGCCCCGCGAGAGGGAGTCGGGCGTGGGCATCCTCCACAGCTGGCTCACCCAGAAGATCTCCGAGTTTGCCGACACGCTCAGCATGTACCGTCCGTCTCGCTCTGTTGTGCTTCCTGCGAGCTGCTAACACACGACACACGCGACACACGCGACACACGCGACACACACGACACACACGACACACGCACACACACGCACACACGACACACGACACACGACACACGACACACGACACACGCACACACGACACGAACGCACGCCGCTAGATATTTGCCGGAGGTGAAGGAGGGTGCGCTGGTCGGTAACATTTTGGAGCAGAGCATGTACTACGCCACCTCGCTGGCCAGGGTCGGACTCGACTTCAGAGGTCCGTCATTACATCGACCACCTGCTCCCACCTTACCTGCATCCCCATTGGCTCATGTCTGCACGTGTGTGCGGTTTTGCGTGTGCGTGTGCGGTTTTGCGTGTGCGTGTGTGCGTGTGCGTTACACAACAGGACTGCTGGGCCCGATATTCGAGCATGCGGTGTACAACCTGTTCTCCTCGTTCGTACAGACCGCTGTCCTCCGCTTCTCTCAGACTCTCAAGGTTTCTTTCCTCTTCTATATAGAACATTATTATTATTATTATTATTATTGCCAATTCAATAATTCTTACTATTTCCGCTCTCATCCTGCGCTTGCCGCGATTTAAATCGCGTTCAGGCGCAGAAGTGGGTGGCGCCGTCGCGAGCCCTGGCCGCGGCCATGCTGACGGGCCTGGACAACGGTAAGTGGGGGCCGAGCTCGCTCTCTTCGGGAAGGTGTGTCGCTTTCGAACTGAATTGATTGACGGACTTGGAACAGAGGCGAGCTCGAAGCTGGCCCCGCCCGTGGTGCTCATGGACTACCCGCCGCTGGCCGTCTTGACCAACAGCCTGCTCGCCTCCTTCAACGAACTGCGGTGCATGTCCACACACACGCACACGCAAAACCGCACACGCACACGCACACGCACACGCTCAACTTACACATCCACCTCGTTGGCGCAGGTCGTGCGCGTTGTACTCGCTACGCGAGGGCGTGTACGAGGTGGTCAACGCCGCGCTCACCAACGCGGCCCTCGAGATCCGCAATCTCCACAAACAGGTCAGTAATCAACCTCTAAGCGTGTGTGCGTGTGCGTGCGCGTGTGCGTGCGCGTGCGCGGTGCTCTGCGCACGCGTGCTTATGCGAACGATGATTCTGACGTGCTGTGGGACTTGACCGAGCAGTCCGTGCTGAGCGAGGAGGAGCGGGAGTACTTTGATAGCACGTGCCGCACTGCGGCAGAGGTGATGGTGCCCTACATCGGCCGATGCGTGGCCGCCATCTATCCGCGCCCCTCCGTCACCGCTGCGGCCGCGGTGGTGTTCGACCTGGCCAGCGCGCTCGCCATCCTGCGGCCCATCTACGAGAAGGACCTCCCGCCGCCGGCCTCGCCCGCGCCCTCGTCGTCGTCGCTGTCGTCGTCGTCAGTCACGGGCCTGCGCCCGCCCTCCTCCCCTGCCCAGGCACGTCGTCTCCTCGTCCGGCCAAACTCGCATACACCTAACCGCCTTGTCGGCGCGTGTCGTGTCGTGTCGTGCGTGTCGTGCGTGTGCGTGTGCGGTTTGTGCGGTGTAGAAGGGCGGATTGCTAGACATGTTGATGAACGACGAGGCGGAGGCGGCTGGGGAGGATGCACAGACTGTCTTGGCCGAAACGCCGTCGGCCAAGAACGAAGCGCAGGCAGTGGAAGAAAACGAAAACGGCAAAAAGAACGACGACCACAAAGAAGGCGACGACAGACCAGAGGAGAATGGAGGCGAGAAGGAGGAGAAGAAAGACGACACGCCGAAGGAGATGCCCCCCTCCGAACAAGAGGCGGAAGAGGTGCAGGCGGAGTGAACGAATAAAAACGACCTTTCATTTCATAAAATGCGCCAATGGCAGCCGCCAATGGGACACACTGAAAAGTGGGCAGTAACCGTTTTTTTCACCTGTCGTCCACCCCAACAACACTTGCCGTCCATCCACGACCATGTCTAAGATTGCTGCGCAGAAGGCCATCGCCGAACACCTTAAGAAGGTCGAGGAGGAGGAAGGTACCGCCCCCTCTCGCTTTCATTCTTTTGTTTTCTGTTAATCGGCACTTACACGATTCGTAGCCCATAATAAATAATACTCTTCAAAATAAATAATAATTTGAGTTTTATTGATTATTTTTATAATGATTTTTTACTTAAAATATAATGGCAGGTCCGCCCGCGCTTTCGCGTCGCGTGTTCGAGAAGTACGACAAGGACGAGAGCGGCACGATCGACCGCAACGAGTTCAAGGCCATGTGCTACGACCTCGGCTACTACCTCTCCGAGGCCGAGACCGACATCGCCTTCCGCACCATCGACCTCTCGGGCAACGGCGACATCACCTACGACGAATTCTACCAGGCACGCCACCACCGCACACGCCGCACGCACCGCACACGCACACGCACACGTCGCACGCGGCTGACAATGAGTGTGTGACCACAGTTCTGGCGGAACGACAAGCGGTTCGAGAACCTGCACAAGAACCCGGCCGAGCTGCAGCGCCTGCAGGCCGCCGTCGCCTACTTCCAGTTCTTTGACCAGGACAAGAGCGGACAGCTCGACAAGCAGGAGTTCGCGTCCCTGCACGCGGACCTCGTCAAGAACAACATGACCACCCACGACCTGGAGTCCTGCTTCGAAGAACTCGACACCGACGGCAGCGGTGCGTGCGTGTGTCGTGTGTGTCGTGTCGTGTGTGTCGTGTGTGTCGTGTGTGTCGTGTGTGTCGTGTGTGTCGTGTGTCGTGTCGTTAGCTCATCATCCATGAGCGATGGTGTACCCAGGTACGATCTCGTTCAACGAGTACGTCGAGTGGATCTCGTGCGCGCGGGTGCCCAAGGTCAAGGTCCTGCCTCCGCCTTCGGTCTAAGAAGGTCGGTGCGGGGGCGCTCAATAGTAAAATTTCGTTTAAACGAAATTGTTTTCGAAAGTGTTTCGTTTTCGTTGTCGTTTTCGTTTTCGTTTTCGCGCAAGAGGCCACTAGGAGGGCGCTGTCTTCTGGCTGGCGCCGTGGGCCAGCTGGGTCATGTAGCACTCGTACACCATGTCGATGAAACTGTCATCCTGTTGTGTTGGTTGTGTTTCGCGAAGTGTGACGGTCTCATGTTTAGCTTTGCACCTGCACCACAACAAACGCGACACCCACTCAACATGAACGTACGTTGGCGAGTGAGAGTAGAACCGAGCGGAGGTGCTGCTTGCTGGCGACGCTCCGGGCCGGGTGGTGCATCTGCTGCGGCACCAACGGCTGCTGAAGCTGCTGCGGGTGCGGTGGCTGCTGCTGCTGCTGAAGCTGCTGCGGAGGGGGCATGGGCTGGCGCATGATCGGGTGGTGCGGCAGGAGCGGCTGGTGGGGGTGCTGCTGGCCCGGGTGCATGGGCGGCAGGTGGTGCGGCGCCGGCTGCCCGAAGTGGGGCGGCACCGGCTGCTGCTGGGCGTGGAGCAGGTGCGGCGGGAACTGGGGGTGGGGGTGCTGCAGGTGGAGGTGGTGGTGCGGATGCGGATGCGGCTGCTGCACGAGCGAGCCGTTTTGCTGAGGCGGCGGCAGAGGCTCGCGATCTCTATCGGCGGACGGCTGCAGCAGATTGAGGAGCGCCGCACCTGCTGCGTTGCTGCCGTGGTCCTACATTGTGTGTGGATGTGTGTGTGTGTGTGTGTGTGTGTGTGCGTGTGTGCGTGTCAGAAGGACACGGCACACAACACGCCGCACCACGACATTTTACGAACCCGTGGTGGCTCCTGCTCGGGCTTGGCTGGCGTGGGCGCACTGACGGCCGGAGGCGCCGCAGCAGCGACGGCGACGGCGGGTGAGGACGAAGAAGACACCGACGGAAGTGAAGAAGAAGAGGTGGAAGAAGTGGAATCGCGGGCAACCGCCTGCGCGTAGGACGGAGTCGACCCGGCGCCGGTGGACCCAGCGACAATGCCGCCCAGCACGGCCGAGAGAATCGACGCGCCGGCCGCCTGGCCGCCCAGCGGCGCATAGCCGGCCGATGGCGACGGCGTCGAGGCCGAGACTGCCGGCGGTACGGCGGCTGCGGCGGCCGAGGGCTGTTGCAGGCCGGGCGGGCCGGCTGCGGCGGCCTGTGGGGCCGGGCTGCTGGCTTGGCTGGTCTTGTCAGCGCCCGCCGCCTTGTCGGCAGGTGTCTTGGTCGACGCGGCGGCGGCGGCGGTCTTTTCTTTGTCGACAGAGGCCTTGGCGGGCTTTTTGGAAGTGGTGGAGGACGTGGACGACGACGCGCTCGAGGCCTTGGCGTCGAGGAGCGCCCGCACGGCCTGGGAGATCTTGTGCTGCTCGTCCTTGGAGTAGAACCACACGCCCGTCGTCTCGTTCTTGTAGTTGCGCAGCAGAAGGTACGGCTCGCTCACTCGCATCTGTGTTGTACGCAGCGTTGAGCGCACGACACGCACCAGACACGACACGACACACGACACGCACAGCAGACACAACACACGACACGCCCACGGACCTGCAAGCCGGTTGTGATGGGTTCACAGAAGTTTTCAATGCTGATACGGTTGAGCACGACGATGGTGTGTAGCGGCTCTTCGGTTCGCTCGACGACGAAGAGCGATCCTTCTACCTCCTTCCTCTCCTGCTCGTAGTAGAGACGACGCAAATCAATAGTTTAAAAAAAGAAAAAGAGAAAAGCGAGGCATGCAGGTAAAAGAAGAAGAAGTTATTGTAAAAAGAAAGGATGGCCCTGATTACATTTATAAATTCCTTCTTACGTGGGGAGTGGCCACGTACCCAGGCTTGTGTAGCGGGAAGAAATTTGTAGAGGGCCACATGGCCGGCAGTGGCCAAGATCTGGTTAATCTTGGCGTCCAATCGCTGAAGCACCGCGAGATTCAATGCCATTTGTGTTCTACTTGCGTTGTTTTGTTCTACGTGACCGTTTGTTGTGCCCGAAGAAAAAGGAGGAGAAAAAAGCCGCCAAAAAGGGGAAAATGGAATTTCCATAAGAAAAGCATATTACGTCGACAGCCGCGGCTGAAATTGTTTGGCTGAAGCTGCCACGAACACAAAGAAGAACACATCCAGAGACAGAAACAAGACAAGAAGATGGACGAGGACATGCAGTTGGCGCTTGCTATTTCGTTGTCCATGCAACAGGGCGGTGGGGGTGGAGGAGATGCGGAGCCCTTGTGGTCGTCATCTTCTCAGAACCCCAAGAGCGGCAACCTGGTGGGCGTAGAGAGCCAAGTCGTGGCCACCCACCGCACCAACGATGGCAAAGTAATCCAAGTGCGCAGTGGTACTAAGAGCCTTCTTCCTCTCTTCCTCTTCTACTTGTTCTCTTCTCAGTTTCTACACACGAACGAAAAATTCTCGATTTTATTTTTTTTTTTTTCAATTATTCAACAAGTTCAATTGTATTCTAATTCTTTATGCAATTGTTTTATAAATCATTTATTTGCAATTGTTGTATCATTTATTTTACACTTCTTATATTGTGGGCGGCAGGCGACATGACGAAGGAGGACGTGGACATCATCGTGAATGCAGCCAACAAGCAGCTCGACCACGCGTCGGGCCTCGCTGGCGCCATCGTCAAAAACGGCGGCGAGATCATCCAGATCGAGTCTGGTACGCGCCTGGCCTGCTGGTGACCTGCTGTGCTGTTGGCGCGCGTTGTGACTAATGTCGCCCCCCATACATGGTACAGACATCTACATTCAAGAGAACGGCAAGGTTCACGATGGCGACATCGCTGTGTACGCCTACACGGGCTCTGGCACACGCACGGGGGCTTGAACTGTAATTAACGTGTGTGCGTGTGCGGTGTGTGTCGTGTCGTGTCGTGTCGTGTGTGTCTCGTGCGTGTTGTGTGTGCGGTGATCAGCACGGGCGCCGGAGAGCTGCCGGCGAAGAAGGTGATCCACGCGGTGGGTCCGATCTGGCACGGGGGAGCCGAGAACGAGGAGCTGCTTCTGCGACAGTGCGTGTGGAAGAGTCTCAAGAAGACCGAGGAGCTGGGCTTCGCCTCCATCTCCATCCCCGCCATCTCCAGCGGCATCTTCAGGTACTGTACCTTACAGAGCTCGTCTTCACCATCACCACCCAGGCCACACCACACAACATTCTGATCATTCTTGGCCAACACCACGCCAGGTTCCCGAAGGACCTGTGCGCCAGGATTCTGATTCAGACGACGCTCGACTTCTTCAAGTCCAACCCCAGATCCTCGTACGCTTTGTTTTCTTGTTTGCGCCCAGCTTTCTTTTTCCAAAAGTTGACAGTTTGGGACAAGACTGAATGAGTGAATGGCCATGTGGCTGTGGTGTGGCTGTGATGAAGGGTGAACGAGGTCCGATTCACGAACTTTGACAAGAACACGGTGGAGGTCTTCGAGAAGGAGTTCAAGAAGCGCTTTGGTGACTCGTCGTGAAGCTGGGCGCGAGTGGAAATGAGTGGGAAACGCAATTTCTTTTTGAAAAAGCAAAAAAAAAAACCGAAAGATCATCACGAGGCGAGAAGATGAAGAGGAGTCGAGAGGAGATGCCAACGACCCTGCATCGGCGGACGCAGTCGCATGGCAGCATCCTGCCCACAAATGCATCTTCATCTTCATCTTCTGCACGTGCCTCCACATTTCTACCCCCTGCCGCCCCCTCCCTCGGTTCATCTTCATCTTCATCTTCTTCCGTCGCCCGACCACCCTCGCACATTCAAATCACGCGCCCGCCCCAACCGCGAAGGGAGACCTCATCGCGGCACACGCCCACGCCGACCAGCGGCGGACGATTGGCCGCCAATCCATCCACGCCCGCGGCCGCCAAGTCTTCATCTTCGCCCTTTGGGGGCTTCAGCGCGTCGCGCGCCATCGACGAGTCGCTGCTCATGGGCACCTGCCGCCGCATCCAGCAGTACGAGACCCTCGAGCAAGTCGGCGAGGGCACTTACGGCGTCGTCTGTACGTCGCACTCGCGTTTGTGTGTGTCGTGTCGTGTCGTGTCGTGTCGTGTCGTGTGTGTGGTTGAACGTGTGCGGTGGTGTGTGCGATGCGTGCTGATGGTATTGTGATGCGTGCGCAATGCGTTGCAGATCGGGCGCGGGACATGCGAAGCAACAGGATCGTGGCGCTGAAGAAGGTGCGCATGGAGAAGGAGAAGGACGGCATCCCCATCACGTGCCTGCGCGAGGTCAAGATCCTCAAGGAGGTGGACCACCCCAACATCGTGCGGCTGCTCGGCGTCACCGTCGGCCGCCAGCTCGACGCGTACGTTGCGGGCCTCTCCCCAACTCTGGGCGTGCCTATCCCTCAACACCTCATGTCGTGTCTCGCGCGTGTGCGGTGTGTGTACGTTGTGTGTGTGTGTCGTGTGTGTCGTGTGTGTGTGTGGTGAGCAGAATGTATTTGGCGTTCGAGTATGTGGAACATGACCTTGCGGGTCTGATCGACAACATGAAGAAGCCGTTCACCGAGGCCGAGGTCAAGTGCCTCATGATGCAGCTCCTCCGCGCGGTTCACTACCTACACAGAAACTACTACATCCACCGAGACCTGAAGCTGTCCAATCTGCTGTTTAGCAACAAGGGCGAGCTCAAGCTATGCGACTTTGGCCTCGCGCGCATCTTCGGCGAACCCAACAAGGCCATGACACCCAAAGGTACGCACACGCACACGCACACGCACACGCACACGCACACGCACACGCACACGCACACGCACACGCACACGCACACGCACACGCACACGCTTCTAAACCTGACGCACGCACTACAGTGGTGACTCTCTGGTATCGAGCCCCCGAACTCCTTATGGGCTGTAAGACTACACCGTGGCAGGTACACCAGCGCTATTCTGTGCGTGTGCGTGTGCGGTCGCCAGTGTGCGGTGGTACCTGACCCCACCTATGTGTAGTGGACATGTGGGCCGTCGGGTGCATCTTCGGGGAGCTGCTCATGAACACGCCCGTGATGCCCGGCAAAACCGAGATCGAGCAGCTGCAGCTCATGTGCCGCCTGCTGGGCACCCCCAACGACAAAATTTGGTACGCCACCTTCAACAATACTAATTACAATGAAAAACAATAATAATAATAACAAATAACAAGTAACAAATGACAAATAATAATAATAATAATGGTGGTGGGCCAGGCCGGGGTATTACGAGCTGCCGAACGCCAAGATCATTGCCGGCCTGCCCCAGCAGAACTACCACATGATCAGCAACAAGTTCAAGTTCCTTTCGCCGGCTGGCCAGGTTCGTAGCACACCACAAACAAGCCCAAGACCAAAGGCTGACGATTGTTGGCCACCACAACTCCTCATCTGCTGTGTGTCGTGTGGTGGTGTTGCCTCGCTCAGGACCTGATCAAGAAATTCCTCACGTATGACCCGAACAAGCGGATAACGGCCTACCAGGCCCTGCAGCACCCCTACTTCACGGAGTCGCCCATGCCCAAATCGCCGGACATGATGCCCACCTTCCCCACCAAGCTCAACACCGGCTACCGACGCGCGCGAAGGTTTGATGGACATTTATTTATTTTTATTTATTTATTTATATTTACGTTTTGCTTTATTTGCTGATAATAATTAATTTTTTTTATATTAATGCAGGTCGGACGAGGTGCAGGAGGACAGGCGCATGGACGAGGAGCGACGACACCAGAACGATCGGTTCGGCGAGGTCTTCGGCGACCACGACTATGCCGGCGGCGCGCCGCTCAAAAAGAGGCGCTTCTAAGAAGAAGGGGTGTGACTGTGCATTTGGTTTGCAAAAAACCGGAACAAAACAAAACAAAACAAAACACGTTTCAGAAGCCGCCGGCGAGGCTGATGACCTGGGCCGTGACCCAGCTGGCCTCGTCGCTGGCCAGGAACGCCACCACGTTGGCGATCTCCTCCGGCCGGCCGGTACGGTGCTCCAGCGGCGTCTGCTGCTTCACCATCGCCCGCAGCTCGTCCGTCATCGCGCCCGCTGCCATGTCCGTTTCAACCACGCCCGGCGACACGGCGTTGACCCTGATGCCGCGCGGGCCGAGCTCCGCCGCCGCCGTGCGAGTAAGGGTGTCGACGGCCGACTTGAGCCCCGCGTAGACCCCGAAGTTCGGGAAGGCCAGAGTGGCGGCCCGGCTCGATATGTTGATGATGGAGCCGCCGGACTGGAGCACCTTGGCTGCGGCCTGGATGCCCCACAGGGTGCCCTTGAAGTTGATGGCGGTGAGCAGGTCCACTTGGGCCTCGGTCTCGCGCTCGATCGGCGCAGGGGTACCAGACACGGCCGAGTTGTTGACGAAGACGTCGAGGCGGCCCCACTTGTCGATGGCGGCGGCCACGAGCGACTCGACCTCTGCCTGCACCGCGACGTTGGCGCGGAAGGCAAAGGCCGAGCCTCCGGCCTCTTCGATGTGGGCCACCACGGCCTTGGCCGCCTCACCATCCTGCCATGGCAAAAACAAATGGCGAGGTGTCAAAACTTAAAAAAAAGTAAATGATCAAAAGGAGCAAGAAGAGGGCGGACCTGGACGTAGTTGACGACGACTTTGGCGCCGTCGGCGGCGAGCTTCTTGGCGATGGCGGCGCCGATGCCTCGGGAGCTGCCGGTGACGACGGCCACCTTGCCATCGAGTCGGCCAGCGGTTTGGGGTGCAGAAGATGAAGATGAGAACATGTTGCTGTTGGTTGGGGGTATGTTGGTTTGTTGTTGTTATTGAGGCCGAGAGGGCTGCATTTATATGGGAGTCGTCGGCGATAGGGGAATTTGACCGGCTGCAACTTGCAACCGACCAACAGGCAGCTCACGAAAGCTGCGACTTCAAAGACCCTCGGCGACTTCACCAAACCAATCACAATCGAGCGTGTGCTGGCAAATCAAGCTTTGGAAAACAGTCATGTCAACGCCGTATCGCCGGGCGTGGTAGAGACGGACATGTCAGCGGGCCTGCTGACGGACGAGCTGCGGGCGATGGTGGAACAGCAGACGCCGCTGGAGCACCGGAGGGGCCGGAGGAGATCACCAACGTGGTGGCGTTCCTGGCCAGCGACGAGGCCAGCTGGGTCACGACCCAGGTCATCATCCTCGCCGGTGGCTTCTGAAACGTGTTTTTTTATTTATTTTATATTTTTTTCTGAAAAAAATATAAAATAAAATTAAAAATAAAGAAAACAAGAGAACAAAACTTCTCTGCGCCAGTTGCTGGTGCTGGGTACTCCCTTCCCCAGTACTTTTGAATTTTGGGTGTAGTGGGTATGGGAGAAGGCTCAATGCTCTTTCTTGATGTTGCCATCTATCGTTGGCGAAGATGGCAACGTTGAGGATTTCAAGAGTCTGTGGGAAGATGAAGATGAAGAGGATGAAGAAGGAGAAGAGTTGGTGGTGGTGCCCAATACGACGAAGAGGGAGAAGGCGATGAAGATGAGCAGGGACGAGATGACCCGGGGTCCGCCGAGGCCCACGAAGTTGAACAACACGCCGGCGAGCAGGGGCGCCACGATGTCGCCGATGCTGTTGACGCTGCCGGCCACGCCCATGGCCAGCCCGATCTCCCGCTGGTCGAAGGCGTGCGAAAACGAGGCGAGCGCCGACGTGGACAGGACGAGGTGGCTCAGCGAGGCGACAGGCTGGAGCGCGACGAAGAGGGCGAGCGACGTGGTGAAGGCCGTGACGCCGTTGTAGAGGCCGAGCAGCAGGCCGGCGGCGACGAGGAGGGCGTGATGCGGGAAAGTGCGGGTGAGCGGCGCGTGGACGAGACCCGTGACCACGCCCGTCACACCCACCACCGACGTCATGTAGGACGAACCCTGCGTGTTGAGAATGAGTGCGCGCACAGTGTCAACTGTTGTGTGTGTGTTGCGTGTGTGTGTTGCGTGTGTGTGTGTGTGTGTGTGTTGTGTGTGTACCTCAGGACCTAGGCCGAATCGCTCGAGCATAAAGAGTCCGAAGTTGGCTCGGCCCATGGCCATGGCCAGGTGGATCATGAACTTGATCAGCAGCAGACGGCCCACCTTGGGTCTGGCGAACACTTCCCAGACGAGCTTCAGCTGGCGCACCACGCCGGTGGTGGCCTTGGTGTCCTCCTTCACGATCGTGTCTTCTTGACCGCCTTCATCGTCGCTTGTGCGGTCGTTGTTGCTCTCCTTGACGCGCTCGCTCTTGTCGTCGTGTGTTGGTAGTGATGGAGGAGTCGGCGCTGGCGGGTGGTGCTGGGGTCGCTGCTCGTCGACGAAGAAGAAGACGATGACAAAGTCGGCGAGGTAGAGCAAAGCGGCCACCAGCGCAGGCGCCATCTGGCCCACACGCGCCGAGAGGAGGCCG